ATCCAATGTACGACCCCGCAACAACACGAGGCCTGGCTGGGACAGCAGTAGACGTTGAGCCACAGAAGGAGACGGGAGCAGACGTTGAGCCACAGAAGGAGACGGGAGCAGACGTTGAGCCACAGGAGGAGACGGGAGCAGACGTTGAGCCACAGGAGGAGACGGGAGCAGACGTGGAGCCAAGGGAGGAGGCGGGAGCAAACGTGGAGCCAAGGGAGGAGGTGATGAGGAGCCGGCAGAGGTTGATGTAGCCGGAGCCTCGGCGATGGCGAACACAGGCGACAGAGGGGACGAAGAGACGATGGCAGCCGACCCAGGCGACATGGAGGCGACGGCAGCCAACCCAGACGAAGAGGAGGCGATGGGCGATGACACAGGCAAAGAGGAGGTGACGGCAGCTGACCCAGATGTCAGAGAGGCGCCGGCAGCCGATCCACAAACCTCAAGTACTGCCGACTCAGGGCTCGCCATCTCAGGAGGCACTGACTGTGGAACCACCGATTGTGGAACCACCAGGACCACTGACTCAGGAACCACCGAGACCACCCACTCTGGGACCACCGACTGTGGAACCACCGGAATCACCAACTCTGGAACCAGCAAGACCACCAACTCTGGGACCACCGACTGTGGAACCGGGACCACCAACTCAGGAACTGGGACCACCAACTCAGGAACTGGGACCACCAACTCAAGAAACTCAGGAACAGACTCAGACAACCCAGTAGATTCAAAAGTCCTAGCAGACTCAGGTGACCCAGATGACTCAGAAGCCAAAACAGCTGGCTTGGGTAGCAAAGGCCCAAGCACCGCAGCAGCCGGCCCAGGAAACAGATGGGGTGGGAGGTGGGCATTCAGATGCCCAGCTGGGACTCGTTGAGTGTAATCGCTGACCTTCCGGTGGCCAGGCAGGAGCAGCAGATCGGGACGCCTCGCCAAGACATCCTCGATCACCTGGCAGTAAGGTTGTTTGCCACCAGAGTGGAGGACCACCGGAAGATCATCAGCGCCTCGGCGATCTGAGGGCTTGTCAACTYGTCCTCCCACGGTGGCAGAGACGGGACCGGTTCATCAGAATCAGGTGAGGCAAAACCGGTCGTGTGCAGTTTAGGCGGCGGTGAAGAAAAAACTTTATCTGCCTTGTGGATGCCAGAAAAACCAGAAAAACCTCTCCTAATGGGCTGGGTACGTGGTCGGATCATTATGTCAGGATTGCAGGCAGAAAAACCCAGGGCGCAGGCGAGGTTCAAAATGTGAAACAAAAAGCTTTAATAAAACAAAAACGCTGTCGATGCAGCTCAAAAAACTCACAAGTACTTTCTTGGACGAACAGGCACAAGGGAGAAGGAGCACAGGTACAAAGCACGATGATCCGACAAAACACGGAGGACAAGACTCAGAATATAAAGCAAACAAATTAAGAGTTAAAAGGAAACACCTGGGGAGACACAAGAGGAATCAGGTGTGCGTGGGCGGGGCTGGAGGCAAAACAGTAGGGAAAGGAAAACACGGGAACGGAGAAACACTTAGAAAACGGAGACAAAAACACAGATCATGACAAATACTACTGGTGATATTTTTATGCTTACCCARTAAAACATAAAATGAGTCAAGATTACAGAGTGGACGAGACAAAATAACACAAAAAACCCAAATTTATTTTATTTACTATTTATCTATTCACTGTTCTTTAACCAGGCAAGTCCCGTTGAGATCTCAGATCTCTTTTTCAAGGGAGGCCTGGGCCTGAAGGCAACCTATTGTACATGTTTTTTGTGGGTAAATAATGTATTTAATAATGTAAGCTGTTTGTTAAACACAAAACGAACYGGCTGTAAGCTTTGATTTGAGAGTTGCTCACAGCTGTATAATTAAACAGATGTTTTTGTTACTGTAAGGCTTGAGTGACAGTCTTGGTGAAGCACATTAGTTTTAAATTAGATTAGACTAAATTGATCCAGATATCCTCCTCTTGTAAACAGGTTGTTAGCAGAAAATGGGAGTGGATACRTCCTCTCCTCCCTAATCAAAATGAGCACACGTTGCTCTCAGAAGCTCAATTTAAAAACACGTTAATCATTTTAATGAGATGGAAGCAGCAACACGTTATTACTCAGCATGATGCTGGTTGACAAGCTGTCCCTTGAAATTAGCTGCACAAGTCACAGTTGATTGCATGACTGGTTCACAAACAGGCAAGACATGAAACTTTGGACTGGTCATAGAAAGGATGTGCTGTATACAGTGGAAAGTTTTTAAAGAYGATTCTCTGTTCAAAGTAAGAGCCTGATGTCAAAATTCCTTTCTATTTGCAGAGGAATGCKTGAGGTTTCTCATTATAATTAAATAAAACTGAGTCAAATCCTCCAATGACATATTGGAGCCAGCAGATATTTAAAAAGCTTCTTAATAGATTAATTTAGCTAATAATCCATGCATGATCAGTGCACGTAACTTTTTAATTTTTACTAAAGCTGATGGTTCCCTCAGAGCTGTAAGTTTTTTTCATAACAACATTTTAATCCTTCATGATAGTTTTTTTTTTATCTGTCAGGTGAGCCTGCAGGAAGAACTGCTCAGAGTTGATTATCAGACTCAGAAAGATTTACAGCTTCTATTTGGACCACGCTTGTAAAAATGCAGCGATTTTTATTGTCAAACATTTATTTGGATGAACAGCTGAATGATGCGAGTCATTGTATTTTGTGGAAGACGTGGTGTGAAAATCACTCCACAGTCAGTTGAAGTCAGTTTTTTAAGTGCAAACTTGAGTGAAGTTCATCTTTGTCTTTATTACATGTAAAATCAGAGCAGCGGCATCATTTAGGACATAGTTTTTAAAAAACAGTATTTGCTTATTTCTAACAAGGAGAGAAGAGGATGGTGCTTTTACAGCCTACGCTTGTAGAATTCTCTTCAAGTTACTGTTTTCACGATTGATCGTTTCTGTTTACATTGTTTATTACAGAACATAATACCTACACAAAGTAATTATTGTTCTTTGTTACAGAAACGCCACAAAGCTGACAGTGTTGTCAACAAAAAGGAATGCCAAGGTATTGAAAATCTTTTCTCTTTATAGTATACTCTAGATGTGTTCTAGTACAAGAAAGCAAACTGACTGTGATTTTAAAAAAATGTCTTGATGCATGCTTTTAGCAAAGCAGCAGTATTGTTTCATGACTACAGATCTTTTTCTTCATCTTCTTGTTTTGACTTCCTGTTTTTGTTGCGCTAACTTCCTCTCCATCACTGTCATTACTCACCACAGTGCTGAGAAATGGTGCCTGGGAGATTGTGCACTGGGAAAAGGTACGTGCTCACAGTTTGTCACACTGCTTCTTATTTTATTCATGTGAAACTGAAAGAAATGTCACGTCTCTGATTACTTCTTGTGCAGTTATTACTGGAAAAAAAAACCCAGACTCATAAATTCGGATGTACTTTCTCTGCACACACCAGCCTGAACTAATTAATGCACCGTGTACATGTGGATGGGCTGTTTCCAGTCTTTATTGTAATAAAGTTGTTTTATTTCTAATGGCTGGGCAGTTCTGTTAAAACAAAAAATAAATACAGTAAATAAATAAAATAAAAGAGAGAGAACACCAGGCAGTGCAGAAATAAGCTTATTTTAGCACTCCTCTTTCTGTTTGAAACAGTTTAATCTAAACCCTTTTGATCTGTTCTGCAGAACATGTTACAGATGGGAAAATATGATTTATTTCATGCATTTTTTTTGTAGTTGAACACTGATTTAACCAGTGGTGGGCAGCGCTAATCCAAAAATTAGCTCCGCAATTTCTAAAGTTCTTATGTAAATATGTAGGTCCTAGAGATGTGATGTTCGTGACCGATCCGAATATTTTGAATGGCTCTTTACAATGAACAGTAGGAGCCAGATCGTGGGCAGTAACGAGCCATTTGTAGTTTTATTTCTTTTATTCCTCATATAATCTTTATTTTTTCATACTTAAATCGCTCCCGCCTTGCTTTTTTACGGAAAACATGCAGAGTTGTGGTGTACAGAAGCTCATAATGAGAGGGGAAGGGGGGTTTCCGCTTGATAAACACATGGTTCCACCCACGTGACGGGATGACGTCATTACGTACGGCTACGTGATGACTTAATACGTTCAAAATCAAACAGCTCTTTTGAACGGCTCTATGAAACAAATGGCTCCCCAAGATCCAGATCCCTTCAAAGAGCCATTTATCCCATCTCTATTAGGTCCACAACCTCAAAAGAGCTTATGCCATAAACTAGTGGAAGCTAATTATAACGCGCAAGTTCAATTTGACACTTACTAGCTGGCAATAATTCATGTACAATATATGCACAACACTGCCAACTAGCGGTGTATGAACCCTTTTGCAGCTTATTACTACAACCACCGATTGCTGGGGTTGTGAGTTCCTGAAACAGACCTTTAGCTCCTGGTGTAAAAATTAAAAAGTTGTTGAGGATTGCTAGTTCGGCTGCTTCTTTAAAAAGTTGTTGAGGATTGCTAGTTCGGCTGCTTCTTTAAAAAGTTGTTGAGGATTGCTAGTTCGGCTGCTTCTTTAAAAAGTTGTTGAGCATTGCTAGTTTGGCTGTTTCTTTGTCTTTTTCTTTTGTTTGATGTAGATTTTTCATTAAAGAAGCATAAATAAAGTAATTTTAAAACTGTTTATTGGAAAACTGAAGCGATGCATTCTGGGTACATGATGGATTTTATTTGTGACGGAAATGAAATCACGGAGTAAACTATCTTCCCTTCAAAATAAGAGCTTGGATTTTAAAGTTTTCCATGTAGTTGCTCCAGTTGACCACAAGATGTCAGTCTTCATCAGCATAACATCTTTAAACCATTTCTGCATCTCTAACCCCGTTGCTTCGACCAATTAGGTCAAGTATTGAGCTCCAGCGTTTAAACTTTATATWTTTTTAAAGGAGCTCCAATTGTAAAGTAAAATAAATCAAATCAAATCAAAACATACAAAATTTTAGTATGGATTACAAATGTTGACTGTTTTAGCTGGGACAGGGAGTTCTAAACACTGCCTTCCTGTTACGTAAGCAGACACAAAGCATTGTGGGAAATGAGAAACGTGACCCAAAGCAATAGTCAGCAAGGATGTATACCTTAAGTGTGTTTATCTGGGAGGGGTACTGTTGGATGGATTACGTGTGTTGGGATTCATTGACAGCCATACGTTCCGCTGTTCAAGATGATGATGATTGGTAGATAATTAGTTATTAGTGGTACTGCATTTTAATTTTAGAAAGCGCAAATCCGCTTATGAATTATAAAAATTAGTAAGACCGCTAATGTGCAAGTGAAATATTTAGGTCCGCAATTAGCGGATTTGCGCATTAGCAGGCTGGTGCCCACCAMTGGATTTAACCACTGACCATATCTATGCTTTCTGTAAACATGTTGCAGTCTATGGTTCCTATATATTTAGATATTTGCAAATGCCGTCTTGTAATGAAAACTCTCTTATCAGCATTAGTCACTATCTCCTGGTTAGTTTGAATTTAGTGTGGTTACAAAATGTGCTTAAATAACCCCAAGAAATCAAGGCGCTAATGAGATCTTCACAAAATGGCACGTAACCAGTTCCTGCTGCACAAATTTCAACTTTACATTTCCTGTTAGAGCCGCAGATCCAGAACAGAGTGATGCGTGGATTATTCCTGCGAAAGAAGAAACTTTCATAATCAGATATTACTCAGATCCTCACAGCTGATAGTTGCATCAGTCGACATTGTTCCTTCAGTCCAAATATACTGTTATTCCACATAAGTTGATTTTCCGTAGCCTTTAGATAAATGTTTCTTTTGTTTGTGTGTGAATTTCTCATCCCATAGCACACACAGGATTCGGTAAAAAGCCCAACTTTGAATAATTAATAGTTTTTCCTCCTCTGCATGCATATTATAGAAGCAACTTCTGTTTCAAATTTTTGTCTGGTTTTTAAGTTTTTAAAAAAAAGGTTTTTTCAGGGCAGCTTGAAAAAAAAGAAATGACGAACATGTAGTTTTTAATTATGGGTCTTTACATTTTGTTTTTGCAGGAACAAAACAGTGTTGCATGTTTCGCATTCATACAATTCAAAAACTTAATCTGAAAGTTACTAACAGACTGTAGCCTAAGTTATATTTAAATTTATTTTGTAGCACATTTTAACCCGGTAATTTAAACACAATGTTTATATTTTAGTATTTGATGAGTTTTGCTTAAAATGTTTCGAGTGGAGCAGTAACTGAAAGATGACTCCAGCTGTTCCAGCAGTGTGTCCTCCCTACAATTAAATGTTTCACCGTTCTTTCTCTTTCCAGCTGTAAATTTTTATTTCTTACGCTGACTGTGCAATTTTTCTGTGCTGTTTCATTGCCAGCCACCAGCAGTAACCAGTTTATTTTCACAGATGGAAGTGGGCGATATTATTAGAGTAAATGGCAGTGATTTCGTGCCTGCGGATRCTGTCATTTTATCATCCAGGTAGAGGAGACCACCCTGCTACCAGGCTGTGGGGGGATCTTCTCCCCCCCTTCCCCTTTTCTCCTTCTCCTTTGCTGCACTTTCAGCTAACCCTAAAGAAGTGATGGTTAAATACTGCTTCATTTCAACATGTCTGAACTAGATTGAACATCCATATTTGAAAAACACAATTGAATTTAATCCAACTATTAAACATTTGAAGATGCCATGAAGCCATACTTTTAGTGGCAGCCATCATTTCTTTGGATGGGTTGGTGGTAATGTGATTTTTGATTAGATTTGACCAATCATGTCATGATAAGCATTTATTTCTCCTTTTCAGAAACCATTCAGAATTGTTAAAGATTTGCCTGGTTTTTAAAAAAAAGATCCTGCACTGGCACAGCATTTTGCCTAAACAGCAGTTTTATTTTATTTTATTTTTTCTATTCTAAATGATTTGTGAAAAGCAGAACAGATGAGCAGCCGTGCCTTTGATCAAACAGGACTGACCATTTTGCTCTTCACATCTCCCTGAAACTGAACCAGTTGTATCTCTGCCCTTGTATGTTTGCTGTGTGTCTACTTGTGTTTTGTTTTATTTTTAACCCCTCCATTCCTCCTTGTTTTTTTTCTCTCCTTCCCTCCCTTCATCCTCTCTTGCCTCCCGTGCAAACTACTTGCCACACCTCCTCTGTCTCGCCCCCTGCTGGTGTGTGTTTGGTAATATCAGGTGGCTGTAGGGGAAGTAGTCAGAGCTGCAAATGGGGATCACCTCCCGGCTGACCTCGTCATACTATCGTCCAGGTCAGGAAACCAGCAAGCATTACCAACAATAAACAGCGGTGGGAGAAATAGGGGCTGTGCACGGACTGGGATTGATCCAAATCAGATAATTTCTTTTCCACGGGTAGAGAAAAGAAGGGGCCTGTGAAAGTAAAAGAAAAAAATTTCCTTTTGTCTTTTTTTCCACATTTGATTCAATTGTGGTTCTGTATCGAATCTATGGGCTGTTTAAACAGATATCTTGTTTGATGCTGATATAGTATGTAACTGTAGATTTCTTTAAATAAACACCCGACGCTTTAACTTTACTTACAGTGAATTTAGACGTGTAACATTACACTACAGGAGCACACACTCCTGCATCACACTGTTGTTTTAAGTGGGATTCGATAATTCCACGTTTCTGCCCATGCATGGCTTGTTTTTCTCCCTGAATGCAAATTATTTTGATCTGACAGTTTGCATGCCGTCACGTTCCAAGATGCAAAGSTGGAAAGCCATCTTGGGTTCCTAGTTATGCATTTTCCACAAGATGTCACTGCTAATTGAACAAGCCTCCTCTGGGTTCATTAACTCCCAATTGTTGCTGCAGCAGCTTATTGTTTTATGAACGTTACAGATTTTTCGAATTCACTTCCACTTGCCATTAGAAGAGAAATCTGCTCRTTTTATTGGGTTTAAACTTGCATTCACTGGCAAACAGTAGTACGTTAAGGGTTTTGTGTGGTATAAATGGAATATTCTGTTAATGGAGTTGCTAACCAGCTCAACTTTTACCCACCGGCATGCTCTACCCCTCTGTTGTTGAGCCCAGAGTCTGTCTGCGGCCCATTCGTGTGCATTGTTTGTTGTGCTTGGTTCTTTGCACCGCTGTTTCTATCAGATTTCTCTTTGCTGTAAATTTGAGCTTTCCGCAAAAATACTTAAACTCCCCMAAAACAACATCAAACAAAGATGTTTTGTCTGTCTTGAAGATGYTTGCTGCACATTTAGACAATGTCAGGGAAACACTGAGGCATCTTTTTGCTGACATGCATCATCTTTGTTTGCAGTTCTCTAGTCCTCTAACTGTTGTAGCCCCTTCTCTGTCCCAACCAGTTGTTTAAACTCAGATATTATAAACAGTGATTATTTTACAATTATTTGCTTTATTAATCATTATTACAATTAATATACTCTAAAATACAAACTCACAAATCCAGATTACTTCTGTACCATAACTCTACTCCAAGTGTCCATGTCCTCTCCCTTYACTACAGTGAACCACAAGGTATGTGCTACATTGAAACGTCTAATTTGGACGGAGAGACAAACCTTAAAATCCGACAGGTGAGGATCTTTGTTTKTCGTTAGTATAAGTTTCCATCTGCACAGTGGTGTTTAAAAATATAAGTGCTTTAATGTTGCTGTAACTACAACAGGGTCTCCAAGTCACTGCTGACATAAAGGACATAGAAAGTCTGATGCGTCTCTCTGGGCGGATGGAGTGTGAAAGCCCAAACCGTCACCTGTATGAGTTTGTCGGCAACATCCGCCTGGATGGGCACAGGTGAGCCCAGTTACGAAGCTTCACGTCAGATTCTCTGACACTTATTTAATCTCTGTTGTTCAGTGTCCAGACAGACTGCAGTGATTTCAGCAACAATTGAGAACTTCATTGGTTTTCTGCATATTATTTGGTCTTCCAACCCGAACAAGTCTTTACAAATGTATAGAAAACATCCACACAACTTTCTCAATAAAGGTTAAAGGGATCCCTGATTAGTTGTAACATGAGACTTTATTTGATAAACATTTATTTTAACTGTAAAATAAAGTCCGTAAAAATACTGAAGTTGTAGACGGGCGGAGCCATTTTATTTACACACAAAGCATTCTTGGTAAATGATGACGTGGATAGGTCATCGGTGTGAGTGAGCTATATCCACCCTGAAGGTTAATCTTGGACAATATCTGATGATCGACTCTTTTA